GCCTATAGTAATCGAGATTTACCTGAGTTTTTGTATTGATTTTTGTTTCTATTCAAGTGTAGTATTGCTTCTAATTTTAGACCACTATTTATGTAAACAATTATTTATATATTATATGATTATTATTATTCGGCCTTAAAGTATACCCAACCCTTGAAACAGCTTTAAATGAATATAGAGTTTCGACATTAACACTTAGGTTCACATTAAAAATAATGTAATTAATTTTAATAAAAAATTAAATTGAATTAAATTACAGAAACTGTGTCTATTTTCTTTCAAATACTAAACTCATTATAGTTTGTCAAATATTGACAAAATAAAGCAATAATATAATGTTTGACATTTACAGCAATAAGACTGTTGTATCCTCTCATCCATTAATGTCTAAATTTTCAAAAGATTTCCTTTAGATTTAGCCCTAGATTTACGAAAAGGGAAACAATATTTTTCAAATAACTGACAATAAAAATTTGCTGTTAAGTCTACAGATTTTCAATTTTAATATATCTATTGATATGAAATGGTTACGGTATTGGAGATAATGTTTTTTACGAAAGCTTACTCATGATTAATGATTAATTATGAAAAACGATACACTTTTGATATTTTCATTTAATCAACATTTTCGCACTCAAAGAGCACTATATTTATCTGAACCACTTTTTATCAAAATTTATTTTTTATAACAAATATAACAAAAATTAAAAAAATGTAATCTAATAATAGCAAAATAACACCTATTTATTATATGTGGCCTAAAATATTTTATATTTGGTTGGTTTTATGTTATTTTTATTAATAACTTATGTAATAGACTAATGGTGTGATTGATTAATATATTTTTGGGCAATTAATTAAAATTTATCCGATAATTAATTATATAATTGGTCTACAATGGGACGTACGGTTACTGCAAACATTTATATCTCTATCTAATTTTACATGAATAAAATGGTAAACAATAACATGAATTGAATTAAAAAATATATTGAAAAACTTATGAATTTTTATTCATTTAATATATTTAGATATGTAAACAATTTATTCATATTAAGATAACAAAACATTAATGCGTTTTACTGTAACTACAGTATAATATGACATGACATTAGACTATTGACATGAAATTCATAAATATATTATATTATGCAGTAATTGGAGTTCATTAAAAGTCTATACAGTATTATAGGCAAATGTGATTTTCATAGAGTGCTGTATTGGGATTGGGATTGGCTTTGAGAGACAATCAGATGCTTGTGATAAGACTTATCAGATAAGTAATGAGTCTATCATAACATTTATATAATATGTGTCTAATATTTAGGTTGTCTTCGACTCATTAGTAAAGCTATGCATTGAATATAATTAGTAGCATATAATGCAATCGTAGTTAATATTGTTTTTCCTAATATTTTATTCATTTTATAAATAAAATAATAAAAATTGTTGAATTTTTTGGTTATATGGAAACAATAACATTAGCATTAAATTTCAAATATTCAACGTTTGTTGACATTTCATTTTTTTGCTTATATTGAAAGACAAGATTAGGTCTAATTGTATTAATTAGAAAAATTTACCAAAATTCTAGTCATTAATATTTCCCATTTTAAATTAAATTAATTAAATTATTTACTATAAAATGCTTTCTCAGTGAAACTTTTATTAATATTTTCTAAACACTTCAATGTTCGGTGCACTGTATTGTACTATACAGTATAGTTCATCATAATTTAATTGTCTTAGTATTTTTAAAAATATTAGCTCTAATACTATATTTAGCAATTTAGTCTGTTATTTTAGGCCATAACTTTATTTGATAGAAAAAATAATTTAAAATCATAAATTGTTTTATCGACGATAGATAATGGTTTGATTGCATTTGAAATGATTTCTTCCTTTTCCTTTAAATTTCCGAAATATTTCCAAATGAATGCAATTTCGAGACATGCATTCATTTTGAGACCGTTTGACATTTGACCCAACCTTTAAATAGCATTACAATCACGCGATCATAAACTTTAATCGATGCAAACCTTTGAAGAATTTGTCTAAAAATAGGTTCTGTTATTCACTTCTAAAGCCATTCACTGTTAGTCTATATTTATAAAAGGTTTTTGTTTTATTGAGGTTTTGAAGTTTTTGTATTAATAACATGTTTGGTTTGTTTGTACAATATTTGTACAATAAATTAAGTTATAATTTATAACTGTATCAAGAGCTACAATTAACACTAAAATTAATTATTTCTTAGATTTTATTTTTTGTGTTTTACTAAGCTTTCATAATATTGAAAATTATGAGAGGTATGCATACTTTGGAGAGTGCCTACATTGGATTGGTAGGAATGGGAACACATATTGTGGGGGTTCATGATGTGCTAAATGTGTAAAGGGGTGGAGGTTTACATCCATACAAATAACACTTTAATTGGAAGTATTCTTGATCTTAAAGAATATGAATACTACATGTCTTTGGAAAAGACAGTAATCTTTTGTAATTGATGTGCTAAATGTGTAAAGGGGTGGAGGTTTACATCCATACAAATAACACTTTAATTGGAAGTATTCTTGATCTTAAAGAATATGAATACTACATGTCTTTGGAAAAGACAGTAATCTTTTGTAAACATATTTACCGTAAATAATAAAAAGACACAAAAATTTATACTTAAATGTCAGAAACATTTATTTCATTAATTGTAAATTAATGACATACATTTGCAAATATTTGTAAGACTATAATTACAAACATGAAAGATATCTAAACATCAAGAATAATGTTGACAGTGCTTTACTTTGAGTTTTCAAATCATTTATTCATATTTTTGTAATTAATATTTAATTTTCGACGGATGTGTAAAATAATAGTTAATATTTATATAAATGATTGAATTTGGTGATGAAATATTAATACATTCAAGCCTATAGTATAATATTAATAACAATATTTAATAATAATAATAAAATAGAAGACATCAAAAGTCTGATATATTATCAGATAAACTGCATGTTATACAGTAGATTATGTGTAATAATAGTCAGTGGACTGTTGTTTCAATTGTTAGGCAAAAGTCAAACTACAGAACAGTTTATGTAATAATAAAGTAAAAGATATTTATGGAAACAGTAGCTAAAAACGCAAGATATTTATCGATCCATTATTTTATTATCTAATGCAAGGCTTTCTTTGGATTACTATTTCTATTGGACTACACTTTCAATGGGTTCATAATAATGCTATATTAAGCTTATGCCATGTTATTCACTTGATTTTTATGTATTGCAGTATAAATATTTAATTCTCAATTTACATCTACAGTATTGAAAATACCATAAATTTTTAAGTGCAAAATTATAATCACACATGTAAATCTAATTTTTATTAAACCAAATTTCAATTAATGAATAAATTGTTTTGGGATTAAATGAAATTCATATTTATCATACATTACTTTGAATACGAAAATTAAGTATAAAAAGCTTTCTATATGAAAATCAAGTGAAGACTAATAAATTTATAGCACTTTATCAATATTTGGCGCATTTGGACGTCAACTGTATTCACAAGAATTAACATCACAATTGATTATAATATTCAGAGAGTATATATATTTATATGAAAATCAAGTGAAGACTAATAAATTTATAGCACTTTATCAATATTTGGCGCATTTGGACGTCAACTGTATTCACAAGAATTAACATCACAATTGATTATAATATTCAGAGAGTATATATATATTTTTGTAGACAAAATGAAATTCATTCACAGTTTAAATATGTATTTTAAACCAGAAATGTTTGATGCGATCAAAAGCGGTGTATAATTAATTAAAGTACTGAAAACAAAGTGTAGATAAAATGGAAAAATATGAGATCTGTTTTAGAGACGTTTTCCAAATGTGAATCCAATGGATGAGAGCATAAGTCCTGCCAATGCGTCCAAAACCATAATAGCAATGTTGGCCCCGTCTTCCGCTTTGAAGGCATTCTTGTCAAAAACGGATGCATTGATTCCCAGAAAGAATTCTTTGCAGGGCTCGGAAAATGCCACGAAAGCGCCCCAAAACATGACCCCGGCGATCACCAAAATTGCCACTAAAATTACAGTCATTTTCTGTGAAAATTGTCTTAAGTTGTCATTTATAACTATTATACCGATCGCCGCGAAGAATAAGATCTTTATGTCGTATAATATTCCGGCGATATTGAAGAAACTGAGTATAAATAGTATGCCTCCAGTGATGGTTCCCGTGATTTGGATGATCTCCAGTTTGGGGTAGTCGTCGCCCGTAAATATAGTGCAGTCCTTGTTCTTCAGGATGAAAAAGGACGCCACGGATGCTAACTATTGGTGGCAATCATTCATTCATTCATTTTCAATGTCTCCATTCATTACATGTCTTAAGATTTATAGTTTATTTAAGTGTCAGTTAATTAATATCAATAAACATATAAGTTACGATATATTTATGAAGCAATTATTTGAAATAGAAATGCATTTGATTGACTGGATCAATTTTTATGGTTTGTTTGTGAATATCGTCCAAATATTTCAATAAATACTTTTCCTATGCGCTTCGTTTACATTTACAGATAAACTTAACATTTACTTAACATTTAGTTTATTTTCGTAGATTTTATTATTTATACAGACATTTGAGATATACACGTAAGTGTATGGCGATTAAATTTTCAAGTAAATATTTTTGTTTAAAAACTAATATCAATTAGATATGAAAATCAAGTAAAATTATTTAATATCTCTATTATGATTAATTGTAAAAGAATTTTGACATTAATTTTCATTATGAAAGAAAATCTGCAATTTAATGGTTTAAGAATTTTAAACTATTTTAATGTTTTACTCTATTATTAATTTATAAATTAATTCAATTTATAAACTATAAATGTATGTCTGGATCAAAATGATTTACAGACACGAACTCTAATTGATAATTGTTTGCGATATTAATTTCATAAAAATAAAGTCAAGTGAAACTCACGGCAACGAATAGTCCCAGAAATCCATAGTAATTAAGATGTTTGCTTTGAGGCATTTTCGGTGCACTCTATTCAACACAAATTCACAATTAAAGCCAAATTGGAGTCAAAAATAGCTGTAAAACGATTTCTATGTTTTCACTTACAGATGAGTCAAATTGCGATTCAGTTGAGAAAAGTTAACGTTTTTTAAAATAGAAATACAAAGAGTTTGTGAGTAATTGTATTGCGAGAAGAGTGGAAATGTACGAAATGTATGGTCCGTTCCCTTCAGTTATGTCTCACGCCTTCACTTTCAATGTTAACGCTTAACACTAATACCAAACCTCTGACTCTGCGAGTCCTCTAAAGCTTTTGAAACTTTGAAAAGTATTTCTTATTTTACAGCGAAATTCGTAACCAAATGAATGGTTATTACGAATGGAGTGGAAGTGTTGCTAACGAAGCACACCCTAAAACAGACTTAACATAACATAACATAAACAACTCATTAAACTTGTGGCCAATGCGTAGATCCCTCACCACTAGTCAGTCTCTGCTCGCAATGTATTCACTGTTTTATCATTGAATACAAAATTGAAGAGCTTTTGGCTGAAGTCATCGTTTGATATAATGCTTTGATATACTGTACTGTCTGTCTGTCAGGCAATGGATAGCAATCCTCGACGGAAGCGCTTTTTCAGCGCATATGCCATCCCTTGCTATCAATGCCATCAAAATTGTTTGTTTGCCTCAAAAGCGGGTCACAAATGAAGAAAACAAATTCTCGACAAAATAAATGCATTTATCATACATTATATGGCAATTCACTTGTGAAAGGACTACAAACACTATACCATACTTATGCCTAATGATTGATAACTAATGTCAATTCTTTAAAATGAAACTTTTCATTTTCCAAAAGTTTCGTTAAATTAATATAAAAGCAAACATTAATTGTGTTTCTATTTTGTTAACATGTTTTTCAAATCCTGTCTTTTAATAAAATTGTATTTCCTTTCATGTGTTGTCATTAAAAATAAAATTGAAATTCTTGCGAATTGTTCACATGATAAGCAGAGGTTTAAATTGAAAATAACATAAATATAATAATTTTATTATATCTCCATTTATGTGTAATTCCTGTGTATTTCTAATTTCTTATTTCCAAAAACCATGTCATTAAACAAGCTATTGATTAATAAACGGAAAAAAGACAAACAAATTCTTAATTAAAAACAAAATTATAGATTAAAAACATGCAGTAATTCAGATTTATTTTTGATTTACTTTAAACAACAAAATCTATTTATAAGTCAATTGAATGTAAAGGTCGACTGAATGTGAAGATAAAATCATTAGAAATAATTGTTTTTTCCCATTATTTGTCAACAAATAAGTCTTACAACCCTTAGGCGTTCATTAAAACTAGATTTTAAATTAATGTTTCATTCATTAAATGAAATCGTTATCGTTATAAGAAATATTAATTTCTCATGGCTTAAAAATCTGACAAAAAACAATAAATTAAATACATTTTATTTAAGCAGATTTACACAATTACTAATATTTACTAATACACTGTATTAAAGGTTTTGATTTCAAGTGAAAATCTCTTTATATGAATAATTTATACAAATCTGATGAACAGTTTTAACTGAATTGGAAATTATGTCGTATTTTACTGTTTTGTATTCATTTGTGGTTTTAGGGGAACGGGAGGGCGTCAGTCAAGGCTTTCAATGAAATTAAAAAAGCAATCCTTTGTTTAGTGACTTATTTCAAGGAAAAAAGTTTTACAAAAGTGAAAGTCTAGTGAATATTGGAATAACTATTTGCTGTAAAAATAGTAAAAAAAAACTTGTTTTGAATTTTCTTTTTTAAAAATTGATTTCAAGTTCAGTAATATTTCCAAATAAAACACACATTCAATAAGTATTAGTAAAAGTTTTGAAGTCATTTGTGGACTTTTATTTTTGACTACAATTATGACATCATTGAGCTAAAAGTTACCAATTTTTTTGCTGTTTATTATTCATTGAGAAAAACTTAAATATATCATAAAATATTTCATGACTTAAATCATGAAATAAATTAGCAATTTAGTAATAAATACGAGTTTTTTAGCATTGAGAATGTGAACCAACACTAACTTGTTAGGTATGTATTGGTTGTTTGAATGGGAATATTGTATTCAAGAATTTTGTTCAAATGTTTGTTTGCTTCTCATATAAAGCCCATTGAATGCCATCTCTTGACTATTCATTCAGACGTTCATTCAGAATATCATTCAATTGTATGTGAATTCTTGCATTTGAAATAAATATTTATATTAAAGTGTTGACAACTCTTAGATATCAATTTGTTTATTATTAATTTAATATTACAGTAAAGCAAAATTCTCAGCGCAATTGTTAATGTTAATAAATTAATAATTTTGTATATTACTAGTGTTTGTGGCAATTTTTACTATAAACATACTTTAGTAATGCTGTAAAGACTTTTCTAAAAAATAGTTTTTGAAATAAAAAATTCCAAACATAGTTATTAATTATATCCATAATACAATTAATTATTTTATTTGTCGTAAATTATTATATATTTTTATTATATAGTTTTGTAATTTTATATTAATTGTTTAAAATGATTAGAATATTTTTCAGGAATTTATGTAACCTGAGCAATCTCATATCTCAGCAACAATTTGTGTAATTTAATTAGAAATAATTATTGAATAAAGTATTGATAAATTTTTAAATTAAATCATTTCATCTTATAAGCTATTAATTATTTATAAATGTTTTCAAATGTAACCTGATGGGAAAATGTCAATATTCTTTACCAAACTGTGCGCGTGTTTGCAATATCTCAGTAATGGTTTTATATATCTATGTTAAATCCATAACATACTTGTGCTCTCACTTAACGGTAACACTAACCAAATATAGTCAGATATAGATCTGACAATTTAATGATATTCTTAAGCTATACATTACACAGAATATACTTATAACAAACCATACATTTATATGAAGACTCTCCCTTGTTGCTTTTAAAGTATATTTAAAATGATAACTATCTTGGCTTATAGAATATTTTTCAAAAATAAGCTAGTCAAATTTTGTTGAGCATATTACTTAATTTACAGTATAAAAATAGGTATTGTAATAAATCTGTACAGTATATATTGACCAGGAATACTTCAGTTGTATTAAAATCTATTTTTTATGTACAAATATTTTCTTTAATTATTATTGTCAAAATTTTCAATGGTTTTTATTAGTAAAGGATTAGAAAACTATAAGTATCCTTATAATAAATTATACACACATAGTTGTATTAAAATCTATTTTTTATGTACAAATATTTTCTTTAATTATTATTGTCAAAATTTTCAATGGTTTTTATTAGTAAAGGATTAGAAAACTATAAGTATCCTTATAATAAATTATACACACAAATACTTATCATGCAATATAACATAATTTTATGTATCATTTGGAGTATAAATTTTTAATTCAAATTAATTATAAGAAATTAATTAATATCAGATTTATAAGATAAAAAGATTTTACAAATTTAAATAAAATGTTCAACTAATTTAACATAAGTTTACATAATTTAAACACATGTACGAATACTAGGTATGTTTAATATGTTTGTCCACAATGTAAGTGAGTCTTTGGGCCAAACTTTTCTAAAACACTTGAGTCCACACTGTATTGAATGGGAGATGTGTTTAAAGCACTCAATGATTGAATTGTGTGCGAAAACAAGACTCTCCTCTGACTTGTGAGCACTAAATCTGGTTCGACGAGTGTTTCATCGATCGTAACATAGACTCAATTGATTGGCTCAACAAATAACACAATACTTGTCTCACACTCTCTTTCCACACATTTATATATAGGATCTCATTCTCTCCTCTCATTCACGTCTAACGTGTAGTTCGGAGTCAAACGATGTGAGAATTGGACGGTTAGGTCGGCCGCGATAGTCATCTTAATTTGTATTATCATTGAATGCAATTTTGCTCAATTAGTCACTAATTATAATTAAATAAAAATAACAATTGATAACAGTTTTCCAGACAACACTTATCCCAAATGAGTGCTAAACCATGTTTTAAAGAGGTAAGTGATCAAGATTTATTTTTCAAAAAGTTATGTAAATATTTTGATTGTAAATAAAACATAAGTGGCTATAAAAATAAAACTTTAAATTCTTTAAATTCACTTTAAGTTCTTGACTCGAGTTTAAAAGTCCATGTGTTGTTATTGAAACTTTTTTGTGCATGCTTAAAAAGTAGAGTTTGTTTGAAGCGATAATAAGCTATAATAACAATAGTTGTGATGCAAATCGAGAGCCTCTATGAGCGGTAATTCAATGAATTAAATTATTCCGTCGTTGCAGTCAATGCTAGAGTACACGTAAAGGGATTATTAATGGGCGCAGCGTTTGACTGAAGAGGGCTGGTAGTCTAGTTGCTATGAAAAGTATAGTTAAGTCCGTGTATTTGGTTGTACTACTAGTGTGCGATCCATGCTTTGCATCCCATCTGTCACCGTATGATCAGTGATAGTATACATCCCTTCAATGATATTGTATAGAGGAGTCACTTATTTGAGTGGCGACTCAATTGGATGGGATGTAGACATAGCACGGCTCCATATAATTAGTCTTTCCGGCTCAACAGTAATCAACCGACCGATTCAACTAAAACTATACCATTAAATAGACATCTCTTTCCCTTTTTCTGGCCAATTGTCTCTTCATATGAATTGCAATTGTATTGCAAACCATTTGCTGTCATTCTTTCGGAGGTTTCCAATACTAACACATTAATGAGACTCATCCTCATTATGGGAACCGTTTGTGTTAATTAAAACACAGCATATATTTGCAAATTATTTATTAATTTGCAAAACTATTGAAAACTAAATCATATTATTCTTTCGTCTCATTGTTTTAAAAATGTATCCAATATTTCATTTCACACTTCATTGCATTTGTTTCTCACATCAGTACTGATGAACATTTTTGTGACTCATTTGGTTTGGAGACCAAAATTTGGTGCAATTGGTGTTTTGAGACCTGTGTTGGGCCACTATTTTCACTCTTTTATGCTAATATTGAGCCCAAGAGAGTCACTAAAACTTATTAGTGCTGTGAAAAAGTCCCGTTAGATCTGAATAGTAGCGTCAAATTCATTCAATATTTCATTCGTTGTCGATGTTCATCGAAAACCGTAAGAATTAAAACATATTAAATGTTTTCATTTGAATTCATTGATTTTGACTTTAGATTATATTCTTGTGATACAAATGAAGCGTCAAGTTTTGTATTAAATCCTTCATTCATTTGAATAATGTATGAATACTTAAAATAATACTTATTTTAAGTTTTATTTATATTGTTTATTAGTAGTGTAC